CCAAGATAGCCCCAACAAACGGCCCAACAAAACCCCAATACGGCCCCAGGAGCGCCCAAAAACGCTCCAAGAGCGCTCCAAGAGGCGACTTGGGGGCTCTAGAGGGGCGACTCTAATTGAAACACGCCCTCTGCGGTCGTTCTCCAAAAGGGTCTCAAGAGACGTCGTGGACCTTCCTCTTGGGCCCTGCGTGCGGGCAGGCGGGGCGCTGCACGCCGTCCGCAAGGCCAGAGAGCCAAATGGGCTAGTGGGAATTCTTTTTGTTGCCAGCCGCAGGCGAGCGCGCCGACGGCGTGTCAAGGTCCGGGTGGGCCGCGCGAGGTCCTAAATTACCCAGCGCAAGCAGGCCAACCGCCGCAACTCAGGCCGAGACCAGGAGGTGGCCGAGGGGGAGGGGGCACGAGGTGCAGACGCGCTGCTGACTGCCAGGGGCTGCAAGCTGCCGGAGGTGAATTGAACTGCGAAGGCGTGGACTACGCGCCAACATAATTCAATCGTGTTACACTAACACGCAAACAACAATTAATTAAATCCGTGCTGCCATTAGGCTTGCCATAGCGCCCTTTCCGTTATTTTTTTTTCCCCTCGTCCTTGCTCCCCTTTTAATGTGTTCCTTTCCCCGTGCCGTCCTCGTACCTATTCCCAACCTCCCTTTCTTCTCCGCCATTTTCCTCCGCCTCTTTCCTTTTCTCGTTTAATCATTTTCTTTTCTCCTCTGCTCACGGAAGCGATACAGAATTCGCACAAACATCTGGTGGGGCATTCCCAAATATACTGAAATCGATAACGGTGAGACTGAAACCAATAACGTCAATACAGCAACGTATTCTCGATACCGAAACCTATAAACAATTCAGAAACCTATCGCCGATACTGAATCCCGTGTTGCCGCATCAGGTCGTACAACCGATGTCGCGCAATGCAATATATGCTGTGTGATGTATGTGTTGTAAGCAATCAGAGGGCGCACTGCAGGCGCGAGCAAGACATGAAACCATTTCTTTATGGTTTGGGGTATGACGGGCGTCATGGCGCCAGCCCCCCCCCCTATGACATAACGCTCCCCCCCAGTGCGCTCTGGGCACTGCCGCCGTGCGCGCTGGGATCCGCGTAGGTGTCTGCGTAAGAATCCGCAGTCTGGTCTGCAGTCGTCGTCGTCGTCGTCGTCATCGCTCGTGGCTCGTCGATCATCGTCGACGTGCGCGCGGACGCGGCTGAAGCCTATTATTGTTCCGGGCCGATCACGGCAATCATCTTAGGAGGTGTGGGGGGGGTCGATGACATCATGTTTCGCGCCGGCGGCGTCTGGGAATATGTCTAGGGGTGACGGAAGACGGGTAGCACCAGCATGTAGCTGGCGATCTGCACCGCAACGCTCGTGTACACCACAGTGCCTGCGTGCACCACAACCCCTGTGTACACCACACCGCCTATGTACACCACGGCATCCGCGTGCAACACAGCGTCAGTGTGTGCCACCGTGCTCGCGGGCACAACAGCTGTTCTGTACACCGCAGCGCCTGCGTACACCACATCAGCCGTGTGCAATACAGCACCAGTGTACATCATAATGCTTGCGTGCGTTGGACTGCCTGTGTACACCACGGCGCCTGTGTGCACCACAGCAACCGTGTGCAACACAGCGCCACACTTGCATATCGAATGTGAAAAGGAATACGTATGACAACATGGAGCGCTTGTGGATTCCACAGAAAGCAATACAAAAGGAATCTTTATGGACAAAGGACCGCCGCTGGAATCTACGAGAACTCCCGAGTCCGCCCGCATCACACTAACTTTTCCAATCTGCATCCAGGAGGCTCCAGCTAAATTGGCCGTGCGAAAACCAAGTGGACCGATTCAATAGACCATTCTGCGGTGCACTGCGCGCTGAATCGCGCACGTGCGCAGTAGCGCCACCCCGCACGACAGGGGGTAAGGAGGAGGAAGAGGATGAGCAGTAGGAGGAGGAGAAGGAGGAGGACGAAGAGGATGTGGAGGAGGAGGAGGAGGAGGAGGAGGTGGAGGTGGAGGAGGAGGGAAGAGGAAAAAACGTCGCATTCGATTATCAGCATGGTCCTGCGCGCAGGCACTGGTGTACAGTCGCGCTGCGCTGCACGCGGATGCTGTGGTGTAGACAGGCGCTGTGGCGTGCACAGGCGCTGCGGTGCACGCAAGCATTGTGGTGTACACAGGCGCTCTGTTGCACATGGTTGCTGCGGTGTACACACACATGCACACCGGCGCTGCAGTGTACGCAAGCACTGTGGTGTACACAGGCGCTGCGTTGCACACGGTTCTTGCGGTGTACGCAAGTGTTGTGGTGTTCGCGCGCGTTGTGGTGCACGCGAGCGATGTGTACACAGGCGCAGTGAGGCATATCGCCACCTACATTTTGCTCGCGTCGTCGTCGTCGTCGTCGTCGTCGTCGTCGCTCGTCGCTCGTCGCGTCGTGCGCGCGGGCGCGGCTGTGGTGCCCCAATCACACGGCGGGGTGGGGGGCGTTACGTCATACACCCCCCTCGCCCCCCCCATGACGCCTGTCATCGCCGAACATAAAGAAACGCTCTCCATTGTGCAATTGATGTGGTGCAATCTACGTGGGGCAATATATGATGCAATCTACGTGGTGCAATCTATGAGGCGCAATTGGTACCTTGCACCGCCTTTGACCACCTCCATTGCTCGCGCAATCATCCCACCCGCCCGCCCGCAACTTGGTTTGCAAAACCCATGCGGTGGCGATTGCTATGAGTGCTTGACGTTGGCTGGTCCATGTCTGTGGCCGCGCCAACGCAAGCACGCGCGCGAAGCGGCCAAACATTAGTTTGGCGCGACCGGCGCGGCCGCGGTGGCGCTGACCGTTGGGCACTGACCCCCCTGGTTTTCCGCCAGCAGCGGTAGAACACGCTCTTTCCAACATTGCCATCTGAATGTAGAAGCATGGGTCGCGAGGCACAGGACACAAGGGTACCCTCGATTTGACAAGGTCGACCTACTAATCAGCCTCGACTGTAGCTGCTCCGATGGGCATGGCAACAAATCCTTGGCACAACAACCCATGCGTGTTACATGATATGCCGTGCAGAGTGTTCACGGGTACTACACAAACGCCCATTCGCGCGCATCCTTACATACAGTACACAATATGGTATAGTGTTGTGGTGCGACTACATTCTGCTTTACTGTCTGTCGCCATGTTCGGTAAAAGGATGGTAGGAGCACAGAATCCGGGCATTCTGTGCAGCATGGCGTACGCATACCAAGGCGTATGGTACATATGCACAGGAATGTACAAGTGGCGCGTGCGCCGAACGTGTTTGGATTCCTAGTTGGGTCGTATGCCGTGTCGGCTACTCTGTCCGCGTGGCTCCGATATCCCATCCGACAGCGATGCAATAAACACGTCCGTTGACAGCGTTACTGGTGGATCCGACGACACTGGCATCCACGGTAGCGCCGACGGCAACGCCTGCGCCTGCACCAGCGACTGCACCCACGCCAGCACGAACGCTGGCGCCTACGGCAATACCAGCGCCAATTCCGACGACGTTGGCATCCACGCCAGCGCCGCTGCCAACGCCTGCGCCTACAGGACATTGACGAAGGCGCCCCTGCCAACGCCGACGCCAACGTCCGCCCCGAATGACGGCATCGATGACGGCTCATGACGGCTCCTACGCCGTGAATGCGAATGCCGGCGGCTGCGCCAGCACCGACTCCAACTCCGACAACGCCACCATCCACGCCAGTGCCGACGCCCACACGGCGCCCACGCCAGCACGAACGCCGGCGCCTCCTTCAGTAGCAGCGCCAGCTCCGACGACGCCAGCGTCCACACCAGTGCCGACGCCCATGCTTGCGCCTACGAAGGTACCGAAGACGGTGCTTTTGCCAACACGGACGCAGGCGCCTGCACAAGCACCGACGCTAGGTCTCGGAGACGCCGGCATCCGTGATAATGCAGACGCCTACGCCTACTCGTACGACGCTAGCACCAGCGTTAGCACCGTCGCCAACATATTCGACCTTCTGGTGGCCGTCGCCGTTACTGGGACATTCAGCTCCACTTTCAGCGGCAGCTCCCACAACCAGTTCAGCCACGTCAGTGCCACGTCTCACACCGGACACGTCACAGGGAGCGTATGGATATGGATTACAAAGTGGAAGGCTGTTCCGACTATGTGGTTGCGGCTCCGACGCCCGACCCCGATTGGGGGTTTTAAGCCAGGAGGGGGGAGGCGACTTAGTGTCGCTGGTAGCTGTTGGTCACTTCGCTTACTTGTAGTACGAGGGTCTTCTGAGGAGATCTGGGCGAGGATCTGAGGGAAGATCTGGGTGAAGATCCAGGAGGGGAGTTGGGCGAAGATCTGGGTGAAGCTCCGTGGGGGATTTGGGGGGGAAAAGGAGGAGAAGATCTGAATAACGATCTGATGATCTGGGAGGAGATTTGGGTGAAGATCTGCGGGGAGATCAAAGGAAACATCTGGGGGAAGATCAGGAGGACAATCCGGAGGAAACTCTGGGGGAAGATAACCGTGACCATTTTTGAAATTAGGTTTTCGAGTATCACTCGCGCGATGACGGCAGGGCATGAAACAAAACAAGGAATTCTTAACATATGATTTTAGAGTAGGCCCGCGAGACTGAGCCTGGGCATGCCGTCCTGGTTTGTTTGAACTTCCTGTACACCTGTTGCAAAATATCGCTTCTCGCTTACTCGTGGTATTCGCATCGGGGAGGCGAGCAACTCAGGCCTGCAATTTTCACCAGACCAAGCGGTGATGAGCCTACGACCGTATCCGCATGCGCATCCGTTTGCAATTCCAGCCCACGGACCTCTCCCAGGGTGCGTTCTGACCAAAAGTTCGAGGCGAATCCATCGGTAATAACAAAAACCTCCCAGGAGGCCCAGGAAAGCGAAAACGAGGCAAGGGTAGCGGTATCGTTCCCTGTTCCTCCTCTGAATACGTCCCTCGGCGAGTCGCAGGTGTTGGAAATCATGCTTTGGCAGGCGTCCGACGACGGCGGGGGGGGCCTGGAGAATCTCGTCGCGCGCGCGAGGCGCTTCGGCTGGGAGGTCGCGCCACGCGGAGCGCCTCAACGGCGGAGTTTCGCGGCCGCGGCCCCCGCGGAGGCGCGGCCGCTGCGCATGGCGCCGTCCAGGGTGGGGTCCGCGCAGTGGTCCTTGTCGTTGCGTGTCCGACCATGGACCGCGTGCTGCCCATCGCTCCTGGGCCGTTTCCGGTGGTCTTCGAACTGTCCTCGGCAGTCTTCTGACAGTCTTCGGCGGCTTCTGGCGGTCTTTGGCGGTTTCAGCTGGTCTTCGGCGCGAAGGCCGGGTGGATGCGATCTGCACGTGGTCCATGATCGAACGCCTGGTGTGAGGTCGGGCTTGTCCCCCGACAGTTGGATTGAAGAACAGTGACAGATACCCCAAAAATGCCCAAACACATTCCGTAGAGTACTCGAAAAATCTTCCCCGGACTACTCCTTTACTGCCTTCGAGCAGTCCTCCTGCAGAGGGACGCACCCGACTTGAGCCTGGTGCGAACAGTTAGAGATACTCCAAAAAGGCCCAAACACATTCCACAGAGTACTCGAAACATCGTCCCCGGACTACTCCTTTCCTGCCTTCGAGCAGTCCTCCTGCAGAGGGACGCACCCGACGTGAGCCTGGTGCGAACAGTCAGAGATACTCCCAAAAAGGCCCAAACACATTCCGTAGAGTACTCGAAAAATCGTCCCCGGACTACTCCTTTACTGCCTTCGAGCAGTCCTCCTGCAGAGGGACGCACCCGACTTGAGCCTGGTGCGAACAGTTAGAGATACTCCAAAAAGGCCAAACACATTCCTCAACAACTCGAAACATCGTCCCCGACTAACTCTTGTGTACGGCAGGTTCGGTCGTGCCGCCCCCAGCGTTGGTTCTGACCCCCGCTGGATCGTTCAACTTGAACGAATCGGCCGCTGCCGCAACGGCCGATCGTTCAACATCGATCATTCTGGTCGCCGCGGCGTTTCAACCTTTTGAACGTCCGCGCTGGGGTCGCCGCCGTCGACACGAACGCGAAGCCTACCGTACTGCTCTCCGCACACTCCCTCCAGCATAGGGGGACGCACCCGACGTGAGCCTGGTGCGCGAGGCCCCGGGGCCCTGCGGAGGCAGAGGAGGACCGGCGGCGCGCCCAGGGTCAGGTCGGGCACGTCCCCCTACAGGCGGATTTCCGACGAAAAATTCGCCATAGCCAGAAAATAATCAAACAGACCCCAAAATAGTAAAAAATTAGCCTGGCGAAGAACCCAACCACATGCAGCTGCGAGTACCGCAAGGATCGTTCAACATCGATCGATTCTGGGTCGCCGGCGGCGTTCAACCTTTTGAACGTCCGCGCTGGGGTCGCCGCCGGTCGACACGACGCGAACCTACCGTACTGCTCTCGCACACTCCTCCAGCATAGAGGGACGCACCCGACGTGAGCCTGGTGCGCGAGGCCCCGGGGCCCTGCGGAGGCAGAGGAGGACCGGCGGCGCGCCCAGGGTCAGGTCGGGCACGTCCCCCTACAGGCGGATTTCCGACGAAAAATTCGCCATAGCCAGAAAATAATCAAACAGACCCCAAAATAGTAAAAAATTAGCCTGGCGAAGAACCCAACCACATGCAGCTGCGAGTACCGCAAGGATACCAGTGTCAAGCTCCCCCCGACCTTCGGTGGAGATCCCTATGGGGCCACGAAACGTGTGAGGGGTGTGCCGAAATGGGTGTTGGGGAGTGCCGAAATGGGTGGTGGGGAGGCATGCGAACGCAGCCACTGGGGCCTTCGGTGGAGCTCCCTATGGGGCCACGAAACGTGTGAGGGGTGTGCCGAAATGGGTGGTGGGGAGGCCTGCGAACCCTGCCACTGGGGCCTTCGGTGGAGCTCCCTATGGGGCCACGAAACGTGTGAGGGGTGTGCCGAAATGGGTGGTGGGGAGGCATGCGAACGCTGCCACTGGGGCCTTCGGTGAAGCTCCCTATGGGGCCATGAAACGTGTGAGGGGTGTGCCGAGATGGGTGGTGGGGAGGCATGCGAACCCTGCCACTGGGGCCTTCGGTGGAGCTCCCTATGGGGCCACGAAACGTGTGAGGGGTGTGCCGAAATGGGTATGGGTGACGCATGTGGGCGCGGGCACTGGGGCCTTCGGTGGAGCTCCCTATGGAGCCACGCAACGTGTGAGGGGTGTGCCGAATTGTGTGTGGGTGACGCATGCGGGCGGCAGCACTGGGGCCTTCGGCGGAGCTTCTACTATGGGGCCACGGAACGTGTGAGGGGGTGACGCATGCAGGCGGCAGCACTGGGGCCTTCGGCGGAGCTCCTATGGGGCCACGAAACGTGTGAGGGGTGTGCCGAATTGGATGTGGGTGACGCATGCGGGCGCCGGCACTGGGGCCTTCGGTGGAGCTCCCTATGGAGCCACGAAACGTGTGAGGGGTGTGCCGAAATGGGTGTGGGTGACGCATGCGGCCGCGGCCACTGGGGCCTTCGGTGGATCTCCCTATGGAGCCACGAAACGTGTGAGGGGTGTGCCGAAATGGGTGTGGGTGACGCATGCGGTGACTCATGCGGGCCCTGCACTGGGGGCCTTCGGTGGAGCTCCCTATGAGCACGAAACGTGTGAGGGGTGTGGCCGAATGGTGTGGGTGCCGCATCGCGGGCGCCGGGCACTGTGGACCGTTCGTGGAGCTCTCCCTATGGAAGAGCCCACCGAAAGCGGTGTACTGGGTGGGTGAAGAGGAGAGGAGGAGAGGAGGGGAGGAGAGGAGGAGAGGAGAGGAGAGGAGAGGAGAGGAGAGGAGAGGAGAGGAGAGGAACGCGGGGCACCGTCTCTTCAAAACGAGGACCCAACACCACAGGATGGTTGGGGACAAAACAAAAATCGCCCCCAGACTACTTTTTTACGGATTTAGACTACTCGTCCTGTAGAGGGACACGCCCGATTTACGGCCCAGCGGGAATGCAAAGGCGGCGGGCCTCGAAGCTCGGGCCTGGGCGCTGTCGTCGGCTCTCGGCGGCTTCCCGGCCTCGGGGTCAAATCTGGAGCATGCGCGGGCACCCCGCGACCGCTGTGCACCGGTTCTTGACGTGGACGGCGGGGGGCCCGCTTCTTGCTTGCTATGTGCAAGCCAACCATCCGTCAAAGAATCATACAGAGGACACTGTGCTTCCAAATCTGGAACATGCGCGGGCGCCCCGCAACCACTTTGCATGGTTTTTTGAAAAGGATGCTCGGATGCTACACGTGTGTTAGTTAGGGGGGCGGGTGGGTGTGAGCGATACGGCTGTGAGTTGTGAGCAGGAGGTGTCTTCGCCCCTCCCCCTACCCCATCCCACTGGGTCTGCACGGGGGGGGCGGCGAGCGGTCAGAGCGTCCAAGATGGCCCAATAAGGCTCTGAGAGGGCTTCAGAGAGCCCAAGATGACCTCCAGGATGGCGGGCGTTGTTGCTTTGGGGCCATCGGGAGCCATCTTGGAGGACATCGGTCAGGGGGGAGCCTTGATTAGCATCGCCCCTCTGGAGCCCCCAAAGTCGTCGCTTAGGGCCCTCTTGGAGCCATCTTGAGGCCTCGGCGGGCCGTCGGAAGCGAAAGGGCGAGGAGGCTGAACCCGAAGAGAGCCCCCAAGAGGGCCCCAAGAGGAGACGTTTCGAGCCCAAGAGAAGCAACCCACTGATCCGCGCCGCCACCTCTTGCTCCCTCTCCCCCCCACCTCCTCATCCTTCTCATTATCTTCCTCCTTCTCCCACCTAAGGTTCACTAGGAGTTGAGTGAGGCCGTGCTTCATCAAACTACTCTTCCTTGTGCTCGCCTTCCTCCTCCCCCTCCTCCCCTCCCCCCCTCCCCCTCCTCCTCCTCCTCCTCCTCCTCCTCCTCCTCCTCCTCCTCCTCCATCTCCTCTTTATCCTACTTATCCTCCCTCATCCTTCCTCCTCCTGAGTCAACTTGTCTGGGCATACCTTTGGATGGGCTGGTGGGATAGGCGAAGCGTCAATATTCATCCTCATCCTCTTCATCCTGAGTTCTGCTTCTCCCTCCCTCCCCCTGCAGCTGCTGCTGCTGCTGCTGCTCCTTCTCCCTCCCCATCCTGTTTTTTTAGGGAACGCGTTTGGGGTGCCCTCGCGGGCACGGCTGGGTGACCCTCGAAATTCTGGTCCAAACGCACTCCGTGGTGGTGTCCGCGAAGTGGCCCTGCGAGCGGCTACTCCTCCTCCTCCTCCTCCTCCTCCTCCTCCTCCTCCTCCTCCTCTCCTCCTCCTCCTCCTCCCCCTGCTCATCCTCCACCTCTTCTTTCTCCTCCTCCTCCTTCCCTCCTCCTCTCCTCCTCCTCCCCTTCTTTCCTCCTCCTCCTCCTCCTCCTTTCCTCCTCCCGCCTCCTGCTCCCCTACTCCTCCTCCTTTCCTCCTCCTCCTCCGTCCTCCTCCTCCTCCTCCTCCTCCTCCTCCTCCTACTCCTCCTCCTCCTCCTCCTCCTCCCCCCTTCTCCTCCTCCTTTTCTCTCCTCCTCCTTTTCCTCTTCCTCCTCCTCCTCCTCCTCCTTTCCCTCCTCCTCCCTCCTCCTCCTCCTCCTCTCCCTCCTGCTCCTTTTTTACTCGTCTTTCTCCTCCTCCTCCTCCTCCTCCTCCTCCTCCTCCTCCTTCCCTCCTCCTCCTCCTCCCTCCTGCCTCCTCCTCCTCCTCCCCTCCTCTCTTTCCTCCTCCTCCTCCTCTCTTTACCCCCCCTCCTCCTCCTCCTCCTCCTCCTCCCTCCTCCTCCTCCTCCTCCTCCTCCTCCTCCTCCTCCTCCTCCTCCTCCTCCTCCTCCTTCCCTCTCCTTCTAGATCACTCCTCCCTGTCGCACCCCGAGACGTTTCTGCAGGGAGGGCCGGGCGTTTCGCCTGAGACTTTCTGACCATGTTATGATCCGAAAGGCCGGAGAGCCCAGAATCGAATCGATAAGTCGAATCGGCGATCGAAATTAGTCGGATCGGCGGAAATCGGCAGCCAAGTCGGAAGGAATCGAATCGGCTGAAATCGGCAGGTTTGTAAGCATCCAGTGAGAAATCGGAACCCAAATCGGAATCCCAAGTCGAATCGAATCGGAATCGGAATCCATCGAAATCGAATCGAATCGAATCGGGGCAATCGAAATGAGCCCTGAAAAGGTGAAAATGATCAAGACTTTCACAGATGGAGGGCAGGTGGTTTTCATAATGCGGCTCTCGCCTTAGCGTTGCGCACATTCGTCTTAACAGTTAGCAGGAGTTTCGCGGGTAGAGGGCGGGTGGTTTTCACAACGTGGCTCTCGCCTAGCGCCGCGCACAGTCGTCTTGAAAGTTAGCAAGAGATTCACGGAGTCCTATGACGCCCCAGGAATGGTGTTATGACACGATGTAGGAATGTTAGGGCGCAACAATCACGTTTATTCGTGGTTTTGAAGTCCCCGGAATAGTGTCCTGGCACGGTGCAGAATCGTCAGGACGCAATCGTAAAACTGATTCACGGCGTTGAAGTCTCAGGGGTAGTGCTCTGGCACGGTTCACGATTTTCATACGGTTGCCTTCCAACGGGACCCTTTTCCCCAGTGACACAGAACTCGTATAGAGATCTATGAGGAGCAAACTCTGAGAGAGGGTTTCTTGAAACACCGTTGATGAATATTGGGTATGCTCTTGTTCTTCTCCTCCTCCTCCTCCTCCTCTTCCTCCTCGTCGCCTGGATCTGGGTTGACACACGTCCTGAGATGAGCATCGTCTAACCGATCCCTATCCCCACTGGCGTGGCCTTGGTCCCACCAGCCGATTTTACCACCCAAGGGATTCGCCCTGGCCCAACTAGCCTTTTCCTACGGATTTCGCTGGGCCAATGCCCACTTGGAAGGGTGGGCTGGTGGGGCTGAGCTGCCATAGCCCAGTGGGGATGGGGCCACGTAGGTGTCCAGAGATCCGATGCATGGTTCTCCCCAACCATCCTGTGGTGTTGGGTCCTCATTTTGAAGAAACAGTCCCCGCGTCTCCTCCTCCCGTGCCCCCCCCCCAATGGGGTGTACCACATGCGTCCGCCACACCCAGTACGGCGTTTCGTGGCCCCATAGGGAGCTCCACCGAAGGCCCCAGTGGGGGTATCACATGCGTCCGCCACACAGTACGGCGCTTCGTGGCCCCAGAGGGAGCTCCACCGAAAGCTCCATAGGGGTATACCACATGCGTCTGCCACACCCAGTACGGCGTTCGTGGCCCCATAGGGAGCTCCACCGAAGGCCCCAATGGGGATGGCCACATGCGTCCGTCACACCCA